ATTTGAAGTGAATCAGAAGAGGAGAAATGAATCAAAAGACATTGATTTATAAATTGATTGGATGATTTTAGCTCAAGAAGAATGATTTAGCCTTTGAGTCCTTTTGAAGAAATCACCAACCTCAATATCCAAAGATTGAGTGCAAAGAAAATACTCTCGGATAGCTTGAATAAAATTTATCAAACTTAAAAGAAGATTGAAAAAGAGCTTTAAACAATTCATCAAAAATAATAATAAAAAAAGAGCTTTAACAAGACAAAAATGAGTCAAATTAGTTAGGGCAGGAGTTGAGTATGGTGGTGGGTCGAAGTTGTGTTAAGTGTGTCTTGAGCTGCTGTTGGTTTTCTCTTTTTATAAGAGGTGGGAATGTAAATAATACATTAGTATTCACAAGTTATTCGGGTTTGATTTGAAGAAAACTCGAATTAGGTTCGATTATTATTGAGTCGAGCTCGAACTCGAGTAGCTCGACTTATCGATCGAGTCGAATTCGAATATTTTTATATCCGGCTCGAGTAGCTCACGAGCTTAATCAAGCTTTTATATTTAAATATATTTTTATTATTTTAAGTAATAAAATATTTCGAATTCGAACTCGAGTATAAATAATCAAACTCTTATCGAGTATACGAATCGAACTTATTTTTACATATTAATCGAGCTTAATCGAGCGATCTCGAGTAGCTCGAATTCGATTACGAATCGAGCTCGAACTTGAAAAATAAAATTCACTCGAGTTCGAGTCGAGTATCGAACCCCGAGTTATGAGTCGAGCTCGAACTCGAACTCGAACTTCTTACTATATCGGTTCGATTACACCCCTAATAAGAGGCTTTCCCAGCTATTGATTCCATAATTTTTGCAACTTCTTGGCCACCACCTAAGGCCCAAGAAGCTGCTAGTGGTTATGATTTCACAAAATGTGATTCCTAATCTTCCTTTCTGGATTTCCTCTTAGCTACTTTCTTCTTCCAATCATATCCGCCACGTGCATTCATATCATTAGCCAAAATTAACTTAATTCAGCTGATTTGGATTAATTCTTTTAAGAATCCTCTTAACAGATTTCTACTGGCTAATTTGAATGGAGTTTGCCACATGTTTAACATCGATTGGCTCAAAGATCTTTTACTCATTAAACAAAAATATCAATTGGTCGATCTTAACATAAATAAGCCATATGTTTTTATTTAATATGCCATGTCACTTTGTAGGGCCAAATCATCCTCATGTTAACATATGTTTCCTTCTCATTGGTCGAAGTATTTATATGGTAAACACAACCACTAATGAATTATTGAATATAAACAATAAAGGCAAAAGTTGTTAAGAGCACCAATAATTACCCACATACTTGATGAGATTAAAAAGTTCTTTTTTTATGGGAGTTAATGAGATGATTTTAACATCCACAAGATGAAACCTACTTATTATGTCCATTAATTTATATATATATATATATATATGTATATGAGTATGACGACATTGCTCTTCACATCTCAAATCCAACCCCATCCATTAGTCCCAATATTTATGCTTTTTTATTATAAGTATTAATTACTGGTATGATATATTAAAATTTATAAAGTTTATAATAACAAAATAAAAATTTCATGTCAAGGGGGATAGCATTTTTTTTTTTTATTTATGTAAAAGAGATGACGGCATAAAGTATAAGAAGGGACAATAACTGATCATGCCTACTGGTTGTTCATAATTTGCCCAAATCCTATGTGGGCTTCTCTATGCACTTGGATACCCTTAGTACTAAAGCTATCAAATACCTATGGACCAATTGGTCTATCCAAGATCACAAACTAGCCCAGCCCTTTCTGAAGCAACCCTTGAGCAAGGATATTTTAGTTTGTTTAAATTAGTGTCTTGCTCTTGCTTGAAATAAATAAGTTGCTTGTCCTACTAGTTAAGAAAAACATTAATTTAAGATGTAAAAAAACTGTGTTTGTTTTTTTATACAGCGTTAGTGATAGAAAATAATGCATAAACAGAATGACGATTTGAATGAATTAAAATAATTTTGATAGAAAACCTTTGACCAGGTCACCAAGGACTTGATTCTTGTGGAATCAACATCAAAAGCCCAAATCATCCCATCCCATCTGTCAAATGGTTTTCATCCAGGATGTATCCTTTTTCACCATCAAGAATAGAAAGGCAAACCGCCCCCTTTTCCGCCAATCTGAAAAGGCCATCTCTACTTCCAGACAAGGATAATGTCATGTCCAGGTCCAAAGGTCTCATCAATTTACAAATTAAATTTATAAAATAAATTCAAGGCTCGCGTCCTGTTCCAATTTGACTCAATCTCCGGTGGTGTCCAGCAGAATGCCAGCCACGTGGAGGAGGCGTTTGGTTGTCATGAAAAGAACATTCCTAAGGACACAACAAACGAGTGCTTAAAAAAAAAAAATGAAAAAGGGTCCTCCCACTCTCCATACGCGGAATTAGCTGGAGAAATTCCAAATCCAATTACATCATAAAACTTCAAGGACACTTACAAATAATAGCTCGTACTACGACTTGTTTTATCAGTGACGTGGGCTTCTCAGTTTCGTCACCAACTTCGCTTTTACTTCTATTAGTTTTTTTTTTAAAATTTAAATATTGTTATGAATTAAATTTCGAATTTTTTATTTTTATTAAATTTTATGATTTTGTAATTTCATCGATTACTGGACCCGGAAAAGAGAAGAGTTAGGAGGACGGGTTTTAGGCCACGTGGTCCACGCACTGTAACGCGGAAAAAAAAAAACCCACTAACGACCGCATCCCCACCGCCCTTTGTGTATTTTGTCTGGCTTGGGGAAAATGGCAGTTGGAAAGTATTTAACTGTCAACCGTGTGTTAGAGATCGTGTGACGTCACTCTGGAACTATCATTTGCCTTGTTTCTTCGACAGTTCGATTCCTTGCCACCTCATCTCTTCCCATCTCTTATCCATACCACGTTAAGTTTCCATGAAACTGTCCTAGCAACTCTCTTGTCTAATTCTTCGCCGAAGTTTTTCTTAACTCGTCATAGCATCCTTTCTACAACTATATTTCTTATATTTTTTGGCCAAAGAATTATATATCATTTAGTACATCCTCTTTTTTTTTTTCTGTTTAAATTGAACCTAAAAAATTACATATCCATGATTTTGAGTGAGTAAGATTAACGGTGGATCTAAGATTTTTTTTGTGTCTATTTATAATATATATAAAAAATTGTCAATGAATTTATTATTTTTGTCAATGAAAAAGAATAATTATAACAATTTTTAGGAGTGTTAGAAAAAAACTTTTGAGAGTATTAAGGAAAAACTTTTTTTTTTTTAATTTTCAATTTTAAAAGTATCATGGACACTCTCTCGCAAAAGATAGATCCGCCAGTGATTATTGCTAAATTAATTTCCTAATTCCTCATCTTTGTTTCCCCAACAATATTGATATTATTTTGAATTAAAACTTCTAAAATCAATATTTACCTTGCATATGTCTAATTATAAAATTTAAATTTAATATACAATCTAATAATTAAATTTTGATTGTGGTTAATGATTTACATAAATCAAATAAAAACTAATACTAATTTCTTCTCAAAATCTTAATCTCCTTTTTTATTTTTACATATATTAAAATAAAAAGCTTTTAATTTTTATGTATTTTAAAATTTTTGTTCAAAATTTTTTTATAATTTTGATGTGCAATATTTTTTAATTGTCAAAAAGTAAAAAATTTTGAAAAATCAATTTCAAATATAAAAATAAAAGTATTAAGCGCTAAAAAAAGCATTTCATTTTAAAATATCTCAAAAAGAAAAAATGAATGCAGAGAATAAGATGAAAAGAGTATTTAATTGAATCATTATTTTTATATAGATCTAGATATTTCTAGTACTATAAGTGCTCTACAGATAAGAAATGCTGTTTATCACTGGTCATACAATTAGCTAAAATGAGGTCAAGGCCAATTAAAATAGTCGATTGTGTAAAAAAATGAAAAAAGTTTGACATTCCACTTATATTGAATCTAATTCTTGATTGACACAGTCTACACTAAAAGTTATGATTTGTGTGAGTCGAACAAATTTTAATAATAAAATTTGCTTAAATTTCGCAGAAGTTTTAGTGAAGCTCAAAGACTATGTGCTTACCAATTAGTACATGCATATGTTCCTTTTCTTTTCCCACTGACAAAAAAAAATTTTTTTTTTTTGAGTTGCTATTTAGACATGTGCTTTTCACATAGTACTATGTTCTTTATTCAAGCAATGAAATTCATGTTGATTACAAAATTTCATTTTATTCCTTTTTAATTACAAATCATACTCATAAAAAATACATAGTTTTAATTATGTCTGTCATAATAAAATTTTTGAATTTTTTTAACAAAATTGATTTTTCATAAATTCTAATGCTGAAAAGTAAAAACTTATAAAAAGTAAAAGTTGTAGGTGTTAAAAGAAAAAAAGAAAACATAATTGTAGATAAAATTAATCAATTAAAAGTTAAAAAAAAAAATTTTGAAAAAAATATTTTAAAGAAGTGCGTATATATGATTTGGCAAAAACTAATAATAAAAAAAAGAAGTACGTCTGAAATATCAAACGTTGACAAAGTCCAAGGATCGCAGCTGAAGGAAATCGTGCGTGTAAATTGTCTTCCCAAATGCAACAGAACATGCTGAAGGTGACCCTTTTGAGTCCGACTGCTCCAGATACATTCTCCCATATATTAAAATAAAAAAAATCCAAAAGTCAAATTGTCAAAACCCCACGTGGCTCACTCTGGTTAATCCAAAATTGAGACAGCTGGCAAAGAAACCTAGTCCTACTCTTTATCTCTAAAATCTTTGTACCAACCGTGGATGCCCAACCCCTGACCCCACAAATCCACAGCCTGGATCCTCATCACTTTCCGTGTTTCCCCTCCTTTTGTTAATCTTAAAATCGAAATGCCCACGTTCAAAGCAAGTTTTCACGTATATATATATATTTATATATCGCCATTTCACACTTGTCATTCACATTCACTCAACTCGAATGCTTATCATTGTTCCTTGTACTTCCAAATTCTAAAATCCTAAAAGCAAATCATATCCAAGGGATACTTAAAACTACATAATACCCTTTTCTTGAAAAGCTTTTGTTTAGCTTACTCAACTGAATGTTCACTCTCAAACTTCACTCAAATACTCCTAGTCAAAACGTTGTTCAACTCAAAGTTCAAGTGCTCTAATTTACTATTCGTTTCTATTCTTTTGGAAATGGATTTTTTGGGTCAAAATTATGAGATGGTCGATTCTGGGTCGGTTTCGTCGCCTCTGTCGGATAGTGGAAGTGGAACTAGTCGTCCGGTGAATTTTTCCGATGAAGATGTGATTTTAGCTTCGCGTTATCCGAAGAAGCGAGCGGGGAGGAAGAAATTCCGGGAGACTCGGCATCCGGTGTACCGTGGCGTCCGCCGTAGGAACTCTGGGAAGTGGGTTTGCGAAGTGAGGGAGCCTAATAAGAAGTCGAGGATTTGGCTGGGGACTTTTCCCACGGAGGAGATGGCTGCGCGTGCACACGACGTGGCGGCGATAGCTCTGAGAGGACGGTCAGCTTGTCTGAACTTCGCGGACTCTGCTTGGAGGCTTCCCGTACCGGCTTCGAGTGATCCAAAGGATATCCAGAAGACGGCGGCGGAGGCGGCGAAGGCATTTCGACCGGCTGAGCATTCGGATGGGAACTCCGGAGATTATGCAAAGAGAGCTGAAAGCACGGAGGTTGAGAAAATAACAGTGTCTGAAAATGAATTTTATTTGGACGAGGAGGAGGTTTTGGGGACACAAGGATTTCTCGCAAACATGGCGGCAGGGATGATGATGTCTCCTCCTCGTTGTGGGTACAACGGGAATGAAGAAGAATGTGATGCTGCCGATGATTATGTACCTCTCTGGAGTTTTTCAATTTAAATTATTTTAATTTCAGACATTTCGAGTATACATAGGAATATTACCAGTACATAGATGTAGTGTGGCATCTAGTCGGGATTGCCTTGTTTTGGGTCCGTACTTCATTTTTTGCGCCAGTACGGATGCTTTTAGATGGGAAAAAGATTGATTTCTAAATGAGAGTCAACTTTCTTCAATAAAAAGTATCATAGTTAATAATTGTCGGACAAAAATTTGCCATGAGGTTAGAATGTTTAACACATGAGCAAATAGTGAGTTTGGTTATGATGTGAGCATCAAACCTAACATTTGACCATTTAATGGCAAAAAACAGGTTAAGATGTAACTTTTTCACACAAATTTGAAAGAATTTTCACTAACAATACTTAAGTATTTTGTTGACGTGGTTAATTGAATTCAATGACAGAGTATGGGCATAATTCAAAGTTGGATTATTAGACATTTGGGATGTGATTTTTCTATAAAATTTACTTGAAACTGTATGGGAATTATAGATGACAATGATTTTGCAGAGCTGACATGAGTACGAACAAAAAGGCTTATGAATCTCCGATTTTCAAATGTGGATGATGTGAGGTCACGCGTTTAGAACGGTTGCTCAAGCTTTGTGGTGAAATAAGAAGGGAGGTTGAATTTAAAATTTGCCTCCATGAACGCATTCAAAATATTGTACTAGTATTATTCCCTCCTCCCCTTTCCGTCCAGGTTCGCAGACCTCACCAGAATGTAGGGATTGCGCTGTGACTTAACGGAATTTAGTGCAAGCTAAACTTAGCCCAAGCATTAGTAAGGTTTTTTTTTTTTTTTAATTTTCGAGAAGAAGAAAGAGAAACAGTGAGGGGAAAAAGCAGAGAAAAAGGGAAAGAGTGGGAGGTCTGGATCAGGGATAAAGAGAACGGTGGAGGCAGAGAAATGGGGAGGGCTAGGGCTAGGGCTAGGGCTGCAGTGGAAGTGCAAAGGTTAAGGGAAGCCGGAATTGACGATGGCAGAGGAAGGGAAAAGGGAGGAGACCTAGTGCTGTTGAAATGCCATTAGAGTCTCGTTCAACTTTTTCTTTTTAATTGTTCTTTGAAAAATCATGTTATAGGTGAAGCAATTTTTATAAGTAGTGATTTTCTTTTATCGTTTTAGTTGTTCTGACTTTTTTTTATTCTCTCATGCAGTCATTTTTTAGGGATCTTTCTTTGAGTTTAAATATCTTCATTCACATTTCCTCTGTGAGACTTTTCTGTTGAAATTGTTGATAATAATGGATTTTCAATTTCGATTTTACATTGTTGCAGATTCAGCACTTTCTGTCACCGCCTGTTTCTGTATTCATCTAATTGGTAGATTGTTTCTTTGAGATGGTGATGATGTGAGGGGTATTGTGATTTTGAGTACTAGGAGCTGTTAATTTGTGGGGTGAATTAAAATGCGTTTTTAATCACTGTGTTTATATTCTTCCCTTCATCAATGCCTGTGATGAATTAACGGGACTTTGGTTGCTATCATAGTGTCATAGTGATTGGGAATATATATAGGTTAAATCTATTTTCACTTTTTAATTGAAATTTAATCCATTGCAGCTTTCCTCCTGTGAAGCTTTTCTGAGGTCAGAATTTGTCTGGATAGCTCTTCTTATCTTCTAGTTTTCTGAGTGTTCACTACAATTTTGTGACTTCTCAGGCTAAATTAATTATCCGGGGAAGGAATAATGCTATATACCTGTTACAGGCACTGAGGTATGTCTGACATTGACTTTGACAGTCAGTGATGGATATTAAATTTAAAGGTGGAGGCTTGGTATGGGGAATTTACCACAAGTTTGAAATGCTATGCCATGAGATGGATGATATTATGAACCAAGGATTAATTCTTTGACCATCCCATTATGAGGGAAGCAGTGCATCGTGTCATACTATGTTGAACTTTTTTTTAGTTTAATCTTTTTTTCTTTGTTATCCATTGCAGGTTTCTCAATGGAGGTCTCTTGAGCATGATGCTATTCCTCATTCAGGGATTTTGCATGATTTAAAAAAACTAGAGGAGGTTGGGAGCTCTGTGGAGGTAAAGCAAGCATTACAGGTTTTGTGTCTTTGTTAGTGTTAATGCATTCCCTCTTAGCCTTGGATTCGATTTTCACTACAGAGAGTTCAAACTTTGATTGAGGAACAACATAGCCAAATATCTGAAATCGGTGATTCAGGTTAGTGTATCGATATGCAAGATGAAATGCCACCCTTTGCTTCTAATGTTTGCTTTCTTCTTCTATCATTGACTCCAATATTAGCATGCATGCAGATGGGAAAGAGCAAAACACTTCCACTTTGCACACTTATGGAAAGCGTGGTCATCCGTTAATTTACTTAGCCATTATTTTATTTTTATTTGGGCCTAAGTCAAAGAATGTGTTTCCATTGTTAATTACCGGATTTTTGGGAAACTTTGGATTTGGTTGTCGTGAACTTGAATAAATGGCAACAGATCTTATTTCGAAGACGCAAGTTCGGTTTGTAATATGAATTATTGGGATAAGTATGGTCATTTCTCTAAATTCTGCAGATTCCGAACTAATTATCTGTAAGTTGGGTTATTTGTCTGCAGCTTGCTTTGATACTTTTGCTGTTGCTGTTCTTTCGTTGCTTGTTTCCTGTTCTCCTGTAACAAACTTGCAAAGTTACCACTTTCACTTGACATGTATTTAAAATGCAGGTCTTTGTCCTCTTATAGTTTAAATTCATTGCAAAAAACTGAGACAAAATACATTCAGTGTAAAGATAATAAGATTGCTTACATATGCCACCGTTCCCACAGCAGATTGACTAATCAAGCGATGCAAGTAAAACATGCTAGTCGAAAGATATAACACAAAAATTTACATTGAAATTGGATTGCCTTAGTGAATATGCTGATCATCATCCAAAAAGAAAGACGAGAGTCTAAAAAATTGGACTTCAATTACATCTCATATCCTTATCCTTGCATTGCGAAGAAATATTCAACCCATCAGCAAACAAAATGCGAAAAAGTCAGGCCATGTTAAGCGTTCGACAAAAATGCATAGGCAAAAGGAACCATCGATGTTCCATGCATAGGTGAAATTGGTTACTTGTATAAGTTTTACCATTTGATTTGTGCATGCATCCAATGAAGAAATATCACTTTATTTTCTTAAGGAGGGTTGAGGTCCTGAATTCAGCATCATCCTTGACAAAGCTCCAGCAAATGTAAGTAAGAAGGATACTGGCAGCATGCCAGCGAACATAAGCATCAACGAACCCCTGATAAGGTGGGAAGTCATATATTTCCAAGAGCACAACAAGGCTTCCGCCCATAACAAAGAGCCAAACCTTCCAGCGTGATGGATGGCTAGCCCAAACTCCCCAAATGAGAAGTTGAGCTACAACCATAGACTTTCATATTTAGACCTGCAAACAAATCTCACATGTGACTCCATTGAAAGGATTACAACATCTAATCAGAAAGGATGCAGCGTGAACCACTGAACCTAATGATAGCTAATAATCACCAGTATTGTTCATTGGAAATAGTTATGACAAAAAGATAAAATGATTGGCTGAAAGAGTATTTAAGATGAAAGAATAACTTAGCATAAGAGATGGGCGAAAACATGGTAGAAAGAAGGTTCAAATGGATCAAAAATAGCTATTAGCGAAGGCTAGTTTGAAGTAACTGCCGGAATAAAAAATATCAAACTGAATCAGTGCTTCCACAACCTCATTTTATAATTCATAAAGTTGAAACTATAATGTGGTGTAAGTAAATAAAATTGCAGAATAAAATCGTATGAAAAGCCCAAGTCTAAAGGCTAACCTTAATGAATGCTGATAAACTTGTTCTGAGGATAGAGGGCGATAAAGAAAGAATTACCATAATCAAGTTTGCAGAAGTGCAGATACAAGATGAGTGTTGTCACAAATGCAAACAGTGGAGCAGCAACCATGATTCTTGAAGCTTCATCTCTCACATCGAAACGGTCGCAGTATTGCTAGTGTAGACACTCACTTGTATCTAGGCTCAAATAGGTCTATTGACGTCTAGGTCCAATTAGGCCCATTTGTGTTCATTGACATTAGGGCCTAATTAGGCCCATTGATGTTAGGGCCTAATTAGGCCCTAATGTCAATGAACACAAATGGGCCTAATTGGACCTAGACGTCAATAGACCTATTTGAGCCTAGATACAAGTGAGTGAGGCCCATTGACGTCTGAGCTTGATTAGATCCATTGGTGTCTAAGTCTGATTAGGCCGATTTTTGTCCAGGTCCAATTAGATGGTTTTTTAAGTTGATTATATTATTATTATTATTTTTATTTTTGTTTTCTTTTTCTGTTTTCTTTTTTTCCTTTACTGCTTTCCTTTTTTGTTTCAATCTACATGTGCACAAAAGAGTGAATTATGATCATAATCCCATGGTCAAATTCAATCAATGATTATTAAAACTTTGGACCTAAAAGCTCATCTAAGCAGAATGTAATCTAAAAATTCAAGCCTGAGATTGATTCTATTCGTTTCCTAAAATCATTTTTAAAGTTGCCTATAAATTGGATTAATTTTTACAAAGAAACACACAGAAACATAGAAAAATTGGGAGAGAAAATTATTAAAAAAATCTGAAAAAATTTGGGCAGAAAAGGTTTAGGCAGTTTAATTTTGGAGTTCTAGAGTTCAATCTAAAATTGTGAGCTTGATTTTAGGTTTCTAGGTTAGGACTAAGGTTCAGACGATTTTGGGAGGTTCTAAGAGTAATCTGGGTGAAATTTAAAGAAATCTAGGGAAAATTAAAAAAAATCTAGGTTTTTTGAGTTTTTTTGGGAAGAACATGAATTTTTTTAATGAATTTTTTAGTGACCATTTAAAGTTTTTGATGAGATTCTGGCAAGATTTCCAGAATTTGGCACGTTTTCCAAAAATCAATAGGTTTTTCAATTTTCGGTTGAATTTTTTGGTGACATCCCCAAAAACTGATGAGATTTTCAGTTTTAGGTTGAATTTGTCGGTGAGTTTTCTAAAGAGAAGATAGAGAAAACAGAGGTAAAAAGAGAAGGGCTTGAGTGATTTTGAGAAAAAACGCTGAAGCTTGGCTTTTATACTGTTGCTGAACGACAACGTTTGAATAAGCCAGAATCCACGTGCAGACCCAACGACTCTCGTGTTGACCCACACTCTGATCCGACCAGATCTCAAGTTTTCTTTTTATTTTATTTTATTTTTATTTTTGGTTTTATTTTATTTTATTTTATTTTTAACCTATTTTTTTATTATTTTTGGTTTTGTTTTTTTTTTTTTAAAAAAAGAGTTATTTCTATCGCTTTTATTTCTAAAAGGAAAAAAAAAAGGTAATAATAATAATAATAA